ATCAATGTGTAGCGCCTCGCACAGAGGGAATCTGTTTGTAGCCTTCCCAAAGAGAATCGATATGTAATTCCGCCACAAAAAGGAGTCGAAGTGCACCCCCTCGCACAAAGGGAATCGATGTGTAACTCCTCACAGAGGGCAAATATGTGTATTTCCGCCACAGAGGGAAACAACGTGTTCCCCCTCGCACAAAAAATACATTTGCACCCCCCACAGAGGGAATCGATGTGTGAACCCCCACAGAAGGGGCCCTCAGAGAGGGAGGCCGTCCATTATCTTAAGATCCTTTTCTTTCTTTCAGAAAAAGAAGAGAGTCACCATGCGCTTCCCGCCCCCTCCCACCCCTTCAGGAAGGAGGATGCTGAGGAGGAGGAGGAGGAGGAGGTTCAGTTCCTCCCCTTTCCCTCAGGACTTAGGAGGAGGCCCCCTTCCCTTCGCTTTCCCTCTGGATAGAGGAGGAGGATGTGCCTTGACTTCCACATCGATCAGGGCGGAGGAGGGCGAAGAGGTTCCTTCCTTTCCACCCCCTTTTCCGACAACGGAAGAGGACGGGGAAGTGGGAAAGAAGGTTCCTTCCGTTCCCTTCGCGTCAGGGAAGAAGGGGAGCAGGCCCCCTTCCTGCCCCTGTCCATCAGGAGGAGGAGGAAGAGGAGGAGGACGCCCATTCCCTTTCCCTCAGGGAGGAGGATGAGGACGAGGCTCCTTCCCTGCCTTTTCCCCCAGGAGGAGGAGGGGCCGAAGAAGGAGGATAATCCGTCCCGTTTTTCCCCTCAGGAAGAAAGAGGAGGTGGTTCCCTTCCCTGCCCCTCAGGAACAAGGGGGATAATGCTCGTTCGCCTCCTCTTTCCTCAGAAGGGGGGGGGGGAAGGAGGAGGCGCGCCCCCTTCATTTCCCCCCGGGAAGGGCGAGGGGAAAGCTCATCCCCTTGCCTTCCCTCGGGGAAAGGGAACGCAGAGGATGAGGAGGCTCATGTCCCTCCCTTTCCCTCTGGGCGGAGGAGGAGCCCCCCCCTCCTTCGCTTTCCCCCGGGGTAGAGGAGGGGGGCGTTCCTTCAATTCCCTTTTTCCATCGGGGCGGAGGGGGAGGGGATCCCTTCCATGTCCATCCCCTTTCCGACAAAAAAAGAGGAGGAGGAGAAGGAAGAGAAAGTGGGACAGCAGGTTTCTCCCCCTTCCCTTTGCCTCCTTCCTGCCCTTCCTGCCCTTCCCCATCAGGGGGGGGAGGGGGGGGAAGGGAAAAGGGGGAGGACGCCCGCTCCCTGCCCTTTCCTTCGCATACGGCGGAAAGGGGGAGAAGAAGGAGGGCACCCCTTTCCTTTCTTTCCCTCAGGAAGAAAGTGGGGCGGTGTCCCTCCCCTCCCTGCCCCCCAGGAAGGAGGGGGAGGAGGGCGCTCATTCGCCCCCCCTTCCCTCACAAGGGGAAGGAGAAGGCTCGCTCCCTTCATTTTCGCTCAGGATGGACAAGGGGGAAATTCATTCCCCCCCTTCCTTCAGGAATGGGGGAGGAGGCGGAGGAGGAGGAAGAGGAGGAGGTTCCGCCATTGCCCTTTCCATCAGAAGGAGGAGCCCCTTTCTTTCCGTTTCCCGCAGGAACGAGAACAGGACGTCCCTTCCTTTCCTTTTTTTTCGGGACAGCGGGGGAGGAGGGTTTCCCTTCCCTTTCCCTCAGAAGGAGGAGGAGGGAAATGAAACTCCTTTCCTTCCCCCCCCCATCACGGAGGACGAGGGGGAGGTTACCTCCCTGCTCGTCTCCATCATGGGGAGGAGGAGCAGGAGGAGGGGCAGGGCCAGTCCCTGCCCTCTCTGTCGGGAAGGAGGCTGAGGACGCGCCCCCCTCTTCCCTGGCCCTCGGAGGGAGGAGGGGGGGGGGGGGGGGGGGCGAACGAGAGGGGGTCGTTCCCCTTCCGTTTCGTTCGGGGCGGAAGGGGCGCAGGAGGAGGAGGTGGAGGGGGGAGGGGCTCTTCCCTTTTTCCCATGGAAAAGAGGATGAGTTTTGAGGCAACGGAAGAGAAACATATATATATATATATATATATGTATACACACATACATACATACATACATATATATATATACGAATAACAAAGAAAGATAACATATAGAGGAGAGGGAGAGAGAGGAAACACAGGGGATATACATAGATACTGAGAAAGAGAAAGAGCAAGGTAACGAACCATGAATATACAAGTGGCACGTGTGTGCCCGGGCTCATACAAAAAAATTGAAGGGGCGCTTGAAGCAGGAAGACACCATGAGTGCAGGATCGGAGGGATGTGGAAAAGGGGAAGCTGGGGCGGCGCCGCCAGGTCGTGCCTAAGAGAAGGGGAGGGGCAGGAGGTGAACGCAGAATAATATCAGATCGAGGTCGTTTTCGAGCGCAAGTGGGGTTGCCACACCTTGCGATGTATGTACCAGGGCCCCCCAGGAAACCTCTGGAGGCCCGAATTGGATACCAGAAGAGGCTCCAGGAGGCCCCTGGATTGTGAGTGTTGTGTTTGTGTGTGTGTGTGTGTGTGCGTGTGCGTGTGCGTGTGCGTGCGTGCGTGCGTGCGTGCGCGTTTGCGTGTGCGTGTGCGTGTGCGTGTGCGTGTGCGTGTGCGTGTGCGTGTGCGTGTGCGTGTGCGTGTGCGTGTGCGTGTGCGTGTGTGTGTGTGTGTGTGTGTGTGTGTGTGTGTGTGTGTGTGTGTGTGTGTGTGTGTGTGTGTGTGTGTGATGTGTGCTCTGTGTTGTGCGTGTTTCCTGCGAGTTGTAGGCGAGGCCCCAGGCGGCCTCAGGAGGCCCCAGAAGACCCCAGGAGGCTCCAGGAGGCCCAAAGAGGCCCCAGGAGGCCGCAGGAGACCCCAGGAGGTTCCAGGAGACCCCCAGGAGGCTCCGAGGCGGGGTCTGGGGTACCAGAAGGTACATAATAGCCCCAGGAGGTTCCAGGAGGTTCCCAAGAGGCTCCGAGGCGGGGTCTGGGGTACCAGAAGGTACGTCGGGGCTCGATTTCGGGAGGATGTCTCAGGCGAAATCGCATTTGTTTGAGAATCGGGGTCGATATCATTGAACTTACCATGTGTTTTTGAAGGTTGTATGTTAAAATGTTGAAATTCCAATGTGTTTGTGGACCCTGACGTCACGATCTGCGTGAGGGGTGCCACCGATTTTTAGAATTTGGAGGATGTCCCGAACGAAACGGCCAGAAACACCGCGAACGCCCCGCGTACGCATCAATCGCCTCTGAGCTCGTACTCCCTCGGAGAGGTGCGTATGATAGTACTATATATATATATGTATGTATGTATGTATGTATGTATGTATGTATGTATGTATGTATGTATGTATGTATGTATGTATGTATGTATGTATGTATGTATGTATGTACGTGCGTGCGTACGTACGTACGTACGTACGTACGTACGTATGTGTGTATATATATGTATATATATATATATATATATATCGAGGGAGAGAGAGAGATAACAGAAGCAAAAAGAAGAAAGAGGAAGTCGTCGGGGGAGATTCGCATCGGTTCTCTTCTCAAAATAAGCACACCTAAAATCCACCAGGCCCCCTTTGCGCCCCGAGCCCCCCTCGTGACCCCGCAGCGTGCCAGTTGCAGCCCGCGCCTTTCGCACGCCGCGCCCTTCGGAGTCGCCGACAGACGGTGCCCGAAAACCCTTCTTCTGTCGGTCATTCTAGGGGGGGGTCCAGAGGAAAGAGGAGAACAGGTGGAGGCAGTGAGGGAGAAAAGACCGAGCGATCCCCCCCAACCTCCCACTCCTCCTCCTGCTCTTGCCTCACCTTTGGACACATCCGGTAGTTGCATTGTACATTGTTGTGTGTGGTAGTTTCTGCAGCGCCACATATTCCAGCCAGTTTGGGGCATTTCGTTATTGTTCCACCCTCAGCCTTCCTTGTCATATTCCCTCCTCGGCGAACGGAAAAGAATAAGAGAGATGTCCGCAGAGCACGACGGCCATGATGTTCTGTCCTCGGGCTCCTCCTGAATTTGCTGCCTCCCATCCATAGGACACAACTCCTGGGACGTTCAATTCGACGTCGGCGCTGGTATTTCCGTGGTCTAAAGCCCGCCTGGCAGGCACCGTATACGCACTTCAGTTTAATCCGGTTTGTTTGGCTTAGCCCTGTTCTCAATCTTGGTCAACCCGGTAGAATGAGCCATCGATCGGGCTCACTAGCTTGTAATCGTTCTTACGAAGATTTCCAAGAAGGTGCTTCCCACCCACCTTCAACCCGCTGGGCTAGAGGGCCTCTGCGAGGTCACGACAAGGACGATGTCATCTCCACACGCTCGGACGGGTTTAGGACGAGGACAATCCGTTTCAGAATGTTCGGGGATGTTCTCAGAGCGTTCTTGGATTTTCCAAGAAGGCCGTGGCGCCCGATACATCCTCCAGAGCCGCCAGATCTCAGAGATTCTCGATACATCCTCACCCGATGGTATCCGCGAGGCCACGATGAGGACGAACTCATCTCCACACGCTGTGCTCCTCAACCCTCGTCCTCCACGCGAAAAGTCACCACAGGTCGCCAGAGGTCCCCGCGGGCTCTGAAGGTCCCCGGCCGGGTCTTCCAGGAGGCCATCAAGAGAGGGAGAGAGAGAGAGAGAGAAACACAACTGGGTGTGGATCTTCGATCTTCGTTACTCCTAGTCCTGGCTCCTCGTCTTACGTTGTTCCCATCGTACTTGACGACCACATCCCAGAAATAATTTCGGCACCCCGAAAAGTATCGCAACAGTGTCTGCCCGACGCGCTGGCGAAGTGCCGAACGAGTACCGCCGCCCAGGGCCCACCGCGCAGGAACCCTGCAGCTTGGATACCTCTATAGGCGCTCAAGATTCTCTCTGGTGATCCAGGCTACGGTAAGTTGGAACATCATAATCCTCGTCCTCTTTCCTCGTCCCCGTCCCTCCTCGTCCTTGTCCTCCTCTTCCTCCTCCTCGTCCTCGTCCTCCTCCTCCTGGAGATCCCCCTCTTTCCCCCCCTCCCGAGCGAGGCCTCACAAGCAGGGCGAGCACTGGGCCGTCGGCCTCCTGCACGCCCCGCCGGCCGCTGCGGGTCCACCCCCTGTTCAAGGCCCCCGGAGTGTGGTCCTGACCGGGCGCTCGGAGGACGCGCAATCCGAGCGCTTTCTTCGGGTGGAGGGCAAAGGGTGAACTCTGAAATGCCGTTTGGATAGGTTTTCGAGGCTTGAATCTGCAAGAGGTGAATCACAAGACGGATTCGTTGTTGAGGTGCAAAAGCCCATATGGATTTCACCCTGAGCCCTCCACCCTAAGGAAGTGCTCAGGTCATGGGGGGGGCGATACCCCTGAGAGCCCGGCGACTCGATGCTCTCGAGCCAGGCGTTTTCGCCGAGTTTCGGCCCTGGGAGCCTCACGGGTGGATCCGGCCCAACAATGGTGCAGAAAGATGGTGCCCAGGGCTGCGGGCGGGATTTTGTTACGAGGCTGCATTTTTTCGGCTAGTACGTCGGATCTCAGGGAGAAGGGGGGGGAGCAGTGAGGGCTGCAGAAGAGGGACCCTTGGGGCCTTCAGGGCCCAGAAAGGGGGCCTTCAGGGCCCTGCAAGGGCACCCTTCTTCCCCCCCCCCGTGTATCGCCCCCCCACAGATTCGCGCCCAAGGCGCGCGCACAGAAGGAGCTGGGGACACAGGCCCCCTTGACCGGCGCGCGCAGAGAAAGGTCCGCAGGAACCCAGGCCTCAGGAGGTTTTTCTTTTGTAGGTTCCGGGAGAAACTAACCAGGGTTAGTTTACCCCGTCATTTTTTGCAGCCTGCATATGAATTTCTAGGGATCCTCACGAGGAGGAGGAGGAGGAGGAAGAGGAGGGGAGGATGACGACGAGGAGGAGGAGGCGGAAATCCCAAGAGATCGTAACTGACACCTAGAGGGTTGCTTTCGACACTTGGCGCATGGCCTCTCGCGGCGCGCGCGCGCCTTTTCTCACAAGAAATTATGCTATGGATGACTCCATCGGAGGCTCCTAAGGCCTCAGAGTGCAGTAAGCTGCTCGACCCTATGAGAGCGAGCTGCTGGATCTCCGCTGGCCTCCCGCGGCGCGCGCACGCCTTTTCTCAACTAGGACGTGTGACGTCATCGTCGTTACTCGACGGGCGAACTCTTCATCTTCCTCATCCTCCTCCTCCTCATCATCCTCCTCATCCTCCTCCTCTTCTTTCTCTCTTTCTTCATATTCTTGGAACGCCTCCTCCTCCTTCTTCTACACATTCCTCCTCGTTCGATTTCTTCTTCCTTCTTTCCTTCTCTCTTTTATCAACGTCTGACCTGCTTCGCTTCGTGACCTCGCAAGACGTCGTCGCGAGGTGTCGGGCTCAGCAGCGCCCGGTGAGATACAGGAGAAGGAGAAAGGGATATGATGGAGGGAGAGCGTGGGAGAGCGTCCCCGGAGGACAAATTATCCCAGTGCGACCCTACCTAGGAGTTGGAGCCCCTAGGCAAGCAGCATTCGTAGTAACAGTAAAGCTAAGTTAAAGCTAAGTTAAAGTAAGCTAAAGCGAAGCTAAAACGAAGCTAAAGCTAAACTAGCTGAGCCAAAGCTAGAGCTAAGCTAAAACTAAGCTAAAGCTAAGCTAAAGCTAAGCTAAAGCTAAGTTAAAGCTAAAATAAATCAAAGCTAAACTAAGCTGAAGGTAAGCTGACGCTAAGCTAAAGCTAAGCTACATCTAAGCTAAAGATAAGTTACGCCTAAGCTACAGCTAAGATAAAACTAAGCTACATCTAAGGTAACGTTAAGCTCAAGCTAAGCTAAAGCTAAGCCAAAACTAAGCTCAAGCTAAAACTAAGCTAGAGCTAAGCTAGAGCTTAGCTAACGCTAAGTTAAAGCTAAATTAAAGCTAAGATAAGTCTAAGCTAAAACTAAGCTGTAGCTAAACGGAAGCTAAGTTAAAGCAAAGCTAACGCTAAGCTAAAGCTAAGCTAAAGCTAAGCTAACGCTAAGCTAAAGCAGAGCTAAAGCTAAGCTAAAGCTAAAGCTAAGCTAAAGCTAAAGCTAAAGCTAAAGCTCACAGGGGACTGGGGCAACCGCGGGGCGGATCCTGGGGGATCCGCCCGGGGCGGGCCCCACTGCCCCGCCCTTTTAAGATAGAGAGTAATAACCCTTCTAGACAGAGCCTGGGTAGGGAACATACTGGAACTGACACTATGCTATGCTATGCTATGCTATTTTATGCGATGCTGCGATATGATGTGCTATGATGGGCTTTGCTATGATGTGCTGTGCTGCGCTGTGCTGCGCTACGCTCTGCTATGCTATGCTGTGCTCTGCTATGGTAAAGCTCGGCGAAGCTAATATGAAGGTAAGCAAGGTAAGCTAAGCTAAGATAAACCTGACGTAAGCTAAGCTAAGCTAAGACGAAATAAGCTAAGCTAAGATGAGATAAGCAACGCTAAGCTAAGGGGACGTAGCTGGGAGAACCGCGGGGCGGATCCTGGGTGGGGGAACCGCCCAGGGCGAGCCCCACTGCCGGCCCCTGTACGCAAACGCAGTAAGAACTCTTCTAGGCAGAGCCTAGGTAGGGAACAAATCTTCAGACATGCTTCAGGGTGTTTTCTCGGTTGAAAAAAGAGGCAGGTGGGAATGTCTGGAGGAGAAAGGAGGGGAAGTAGGAAGGATATGGGGGTGAGGAGGGGGGGAGAAGGAAGGAGGATAGCATGGGTTAGAAGGAGGGCGGAGGAGGAGGGTAACGGAAGGAAGGAGGAGGAAGGAGGGAGGGGCGAAAAGGAAAATGAAAGAGGAGGAGGAGGAGGAGGAGGAGGAGGAGGAGGAGGAGGAAAGACGGCGGTGGGGATGGGCGGGGTGGGGTGGGGGGTGGGGGGCGTGGAGGAAAGAGGGGCGCAGGAGGATGGAGGGAGGGGATAGTAGTAGAGGGGAAGGAAGAGGGGGGGTTGAAGAAGAGGAAAGGGCCGAAAGGACGATGAGGAAAGGGGCCCAAAGGAGGGGGCAGATGGCAAGGAAGGAAGAAAATAGAGGAGGACGACAAAGGATGACTGGGGGAAAATGATCAGGAGGAAAGCCTGAGAGGATGAGGCCGTGGGCAGGGAGGGCGAAGCTGAATCCCAAGAGCAGGGGATCAGTAGCCAATGCAACCAGACGAGGGAGAACGCGCGAGAAGATAACAGGGCGGTTGATGGGTGGGAGAGGGGGAAAGGCTAAAAGTGGAAGGGGAGAGGGCTGTGCGGCTGAGCGTCGCGCGCCTACCTCGCGCAGGCAGGCCCTCCATTAGTGGGGGCGCGGGCAGGGCGGCACGGGATTGGGGCGAATGAGCAGTAGAAGGACGAGGAAGGAGGAGGGTGAGGAAGGAGGGAGGAGAAGGACGGAGGAGTAAGGATGAAGAAGGAGGAAGGAGGAGGAGGAGGAGGAGGAGGAGGAGGAGGAGGAGGAGGAGGAGGAGTGGAGCTGCGAGATCTCAACAGGGCCAACCTCCTCCTCCTCCTCCGAGTGCGGACTGGGCAACTGCCGACACTTTCGTGGGCTCCCGGGAGGACCAGAATGTATGTCGCAACTGTCGCCACTTTCGTGGGGGCCGCGAACTGCTCAACTGTCGCCACTTTCGAAGTCGCCACTTTTCAAGTCCGCAACTGTCGCCAATTTCGAAATAGCCGTTGTGGCTCAAAATATTCAGGGTGCGAGTTCTTTCGGCGGGGCACCAAAAGATCCCGCGTCGAGCCCACCGCCTCCATGGAGGACGTGGAGCTCCCGTCCGACGACGATGGCCCGACAATGCGAGACATCTTAGGTCTCCCCGAACGGCAGAACATGCTTCCGACGACGCTGACGCCACCGAAGCTGCTCCCTCCACCGAGGGCGACGCCTTCGCCGACAATTGATCGGAAGTTCTGCAAGCCGATGATGAAGGCTGGCACATGCTGCGCGAGGGAGTGCGTGAGGAGCCCCAAGCCCGACATGTTTTTCAAGTGCCACGAAAACTTCAAGGCGACGTGGCCCTCCGACCATGCGGGCCAGGACACCATCCTCTTCCTGCTGATCGCGCAGTCCCGGGCTACTTCGCAGGCGGCGTAGCCCACAACAAAATGAGGAGGAGGAAGGGTGAATGGGGAGGGTGAGAGGAGGGGGAGGGGCAGGCGGGGAGGAGGAAGAAGAAGAAGAAGAAGAGGAAGGGGGAGGGAGGAAAAAAGGAGGAGGGAGGAAGGAAGGACAGACAACAACAACAACAACAACAACAACAACAGGAGGAGGAGGAGGAGGAGGAGGAGGAGGAGGAGGAGGAGGAGGAGTGAGGAGGACATGAGGACGAGGAGGAGGAAGGAGATGGGGGAGAAGAAGAATATGGATGAGCCCAATGGCAGGGGTCGCTCCAAGTCGAGCTCACCCCCAGGACCCCCCCCCCCACCCCGCCCCCAGGGGAACCGACGCAGAACCCCAGGGCATCCACTCTCCGCCATCATCATCATCATCATCATCATCATCATCATCACCATCACCATCACCATCACCATCACCATCATCATCATCATCATCATCATCGTTCGTCCTCATCCTCGTCCTCCTCTCCTCCTCCTCCTCCTTCTCCTTCCTCCACCTCCCCCCCCTCCTAACCAGAGAGCAGAGCGAGCAATGTGCGCTTGATAAATATTCGGGACAGGGCGGGGGGGGTCAGATTTACGCGCGCCAGGCCTTCATTTTCCTCTGAGCCCACCGCCCCCCCGTCAAGTTAAGTCGCGGCGCGTGCAATCTGACCCCCCGCCCCCTCCCAAACCTTGGCCCCGCGGCGTCTATCGCGACGCCCGCCGCCAGGCGGTGAAGTCCACGGGCAGCAAGAAGGGCGTCGCCTCGGCGCAGGGGGAGAAGCAGACCTGGCACTTGTATGGCGTCACCCTGTGTTTCGCTGCGTTCTGTGAGCTGCTGCGCGTGGGCAAGAGACGCATATCCAGCTGCCTGCGGCGAGGCCCGCCGAGTCCATCGCATGTGCCTTCTGGAGGAGGTCTGTCTTGGGGCCTTGTGGCCTGTCTGTGGGCCCGTTAGCACAAGTGGGGTCCTCCTGGACCCCGACTGTGCCGTCTTGGATTCTTGTCGGACCGTCCTATATCTCGGTGTCGCCCCGGACAGTCTCGAGG